AATAACTCACCGAATGTTCGATTAATTCTTTCGTACGTTATAGCATACGTTTCTCTTTCCTTGTACATATCAGAAGATAAATCCAAATGATGCCGGAACATTTTCTTAACAATATCTCTCCCAATAATTTCCCTATAAATTCTGTTTCGTCAAACATAAAAATATTTTGACATTCGTAAAATTTTTGAATTGGCGTGAACTTGTTAGAATTCCGACAGATTCCATATCTGAAGGAGCATACTCAGTTTTCGTAACATCTCTCAAAGAACTTTTCTCTATGGCTATTTTTTGTTCATCTTCTCTTATCATATTTACTTTTCCAAATCGATCTGCAAACATAAACATAAACGTAAACGTAAAAAATCTTCTCTATTTCTCTATCGTATTCATTGATTTTAATCATCTAAACGATAACGGAAAGAAGCTTCAAGTGTCTCTTGAAAAGAAGGCAATCGAACGATTATCATTCACATTTTTTATTCTAATGTGTTTGCTTTTTTTATTATAATATTCATGCGACGATACGATCATTATTGATTCCGATTATTAAAACATATTCATAGCATCAATTACGCTTCTTAATTACTCATCGAAAATATTTTAAAACAGTGTTTCATTATGATTGAAAATGATTGATGATCGGAGCTTTTAATTCGAGAGGAAAAAATAAGAAACAAAACCATATATACAAAGGTGCAACATCTTCGAATACATCTATTTCGAGTACACCTATTTATATACCACTATTTATATACCACTTATTTTAATTGCTTCATTACGGCATATATTTAATTAGTTTTTATCTGTTACAAGATAAGAAAAGTAATTTATTATTGTAAATTCACCGTTCACCTTACTTCATAATAATTCGATATAAATTGACACGATATGTCTTAACGAAGCGAATAAAAATCAATGATGAGCTTTGTTTCGTTCGTCGAAATCTATATTAGGTGCATATGTTATTTTACACTTAATTATAAACTAATAAAACGATTGTTTTAGAGGGATGTGATCAATGTCGGTCTCTTACCCCTATGTTGAATCACCAATTTATTTTCTTCAATATATAAATATACTGGGTTGTTCGGAAAGTAATTTCGTTTTTCCCCGACAAAGGATTTAAATGTGCTTTTTATTGCACCCTACTTCACACTTAAGCCGTATAATCATTAAAAATCAGAAAGCTGATATGGCAAGGCTTGTGTGTGAAAAAGTCCAATTGATTCTACACAGTAGTTTTTGGTTGGTGCCCTTTTAAATATGGAGAGCAATAAGCAGTATTTTCGTCATATTTCACTTTTTTATTATAGAAAAGTTAAAAATGCTGTTCAAGCCAGAAAGAAATTAACCGATGTGTATGGAGAAGATGTGTCGACAGTACGCCAGTGCCAGAACTGGTTTGCAAAATTTCGATGTCGTCAATTTTGATGTCGAAGATGCACTACGTTCTGGAAGGTCGGTTGAAGCAGATAAAGACACGATAAAGGCATTAGTTGATGCAAACCAGCGAATAACAATACATGAGATTGGTAAGAGATTAAATTTATCAAATTCAACTGTTTATGATCACTTGAAAGACCTGAGTTTAACCTTGAAGCTCGATATATGGGTTCCCCATGTTCTCACGAAGAGAAATTTGTGTCGTCGTGTTAACGTCTGTGATTCGCTTCTAAAACGTCACGAAAATAATAACAATTTTTGAAGCGCATCATTACTGGAAACGAAAAATGGGTTGTATATAACAATGTCAAATGCAAGAGATCATGGAGCAAAAAAGATGAACCGGCTCAAAGCATTTCCAAAGCCAATATCCATAAAAAAATGGTGATACTGTCTGTTTGGTGGGATTTTAAAGGAATCATCTTTTTATGATTTTAACGGATAACACAACAATTAATTCGGAAGTCTACTGTTATCAGCTGAATGATGGACAACAGAAAAGGTGTAGCGTTTCACCAAGATAATGCGAGACCTCATACAAGTTTGATCACTCACCAAAACCTTTTACAGCTTGAATGGGATACAATGCCACACCTATCATATTCTTCAGATCTGGCACTATTGGATTATTATTTGTTTCGCTCACTGCAAAATTTTTTACACGGTGAAACCTTCACTTCAAATGAGGAGGTCAAAAGCCACCTCGATCAGTTTTTCTCATTATGCTACTACCAGAAAGATGGCAAAAGGTATTGGACTAGAATGGCCAATATATAATTTAATAAAATATTTGTTCATTATACGAAAATTGTCTTTTATCTTCACAAAAAAAAAAACGAAATTTCTTTCCGAATAACCCATTATTCATAAGTGTAACAATTAATTCACAACAACATTCACAAATGAAACTACGAAATCACGGTCACTTATTTCTTATTAGTGAATTATACGTTGATTTCTAAACTGGCAATTATTCGTCTTTTACTTGTTATTTGTAAAAATAATAATAGAAGTAAAAAATCTATATGCTTTTTTAACTCTTTCTTAAAGGTAATAATAAAGAGCGATATGTTTCTTAAAGAATTCTCTTTCGTCGAACCGAATTTCTAGGCGTCACAAAATTGGAACGTTTTTCACCGATTATTTTGATACGGTCAAACTATTTCCTTTAATTTTAATATTATAGACGATAGACAACAATAAGAAGAATCGGAAATTCGTGGTCTGATGAATCGATGGTAAGGAAAATAGAAACATTGAAAAAAATAAAAATTATATGGATGAAAGATGCTAAAACATTTAAATTAGCTAATTTGTGTTAACCCAATAAAAAATACAGAGGAAAATAAATATATATGTGACATTTACAAACAAAACTAATGAAGTTTTGAAATTTATCTTTATTATATTTAATTTTCTAACTATTTTTATGTTTCAAAATAAATCATTCTACTACATAACCAAAGTGTATTTCAATTTTCTACATATCAAAAAAAGGAAAAATACATAAATGAATTAATTAGTCAGTCTTAATCTGTAAGAATTAGAATGTCCTCATATTGACAACTTTTTCTAAAATATCTTCCTTGACATTTCTTCCTAAATTCAAAATTGCTTTCCTTCGTAATTTTTTACACGAATTTTGTTCTGCTGGTTTTTAGATAAATAATTAGAGAATCCTTTGCAATTAACAACTTAATATTAACATTAACATCGAGAAAGTTATTAAAAAGAAACTCGTTAATAATATCCTAAATTCTTTCAACTAGAATATTTCTTTAATTTTCTTTCGGTTCAAATGGGAAAAAAATATTTATTACAATAACTCCGGAATAAGCATTAATTAATTGGTTTTCGTCTCGTACCTTCGTATAATTCATTAATCTTTTTAAGTATTTAAAATTTTCATATAATACTTTGTTTAAATTTTCGTAAAAGAATTTTATTAAATTTTTATAACGTATCTTATAATAATTTTTTTTTTAATGTATACCTATATAAATTTTTCATACGTTCAGAATTATTTTCCGTATTGCGAGAATTAAAACAGACCGATATAGCTATCAGTAAAATGTTGAATGTTAGAAGTAAAATTCTTTCCTTATTTTTATGTTAGTTACAAGAAATTGATCGAATGAAGCTCACTTTCGAACTGAAACATAAAATCAACCAAAAGCAATTAATCTTTTTCCCCGGCACAATTCAATACTCAAATCTTTCATTTCTTCGACAATTTTGCATTTTTGCGCATATTAACAGGCGATAAGAGGTTTCAATGCTTAATGCATCCTATAAAACCTTGAAAATTCGAAAAATAAGTATCATTTAAAAGTGTCTGTCAATGATAAATGAATAACGAAGGAAGAAGATCAGAAAAAAGATATCTTTGTCATTTTTATACATGTTTGTAGAAACGTTTCAATGGCATCCTTTATGACATGTATTATATTCTTATCATTAGAAGATACGTTTGATAGGAAGTACTTATGTATTACGAATGAGATTGTTTACATCGCGTATGAATTTCTTATGACTTAGAATCGTTAACTTTCTTGTCAGTTTGTTTTTCATTTTTTATTCGTCTTATTTACCATTTATTACCTATTATTTATAAAATTTCATTCAACTACAGAAAAATTACCACATAGGTCCGACATTTTGTGAATTTTCAATAAGCACGAAAGAAAAGGAATAAAAGAGATTGAATGTCAATGATGGCGAATAAAAATTGATTCTCATTTATTTTATTAAATAAAATATAGAGAAAACATAGACGATTATGACATGCGTACAGTGTACCATTTTGTATTCGTTTCTCTACCGTTCAATTCGTTTGATCCTCTAGCTTTTCGATATTTTGACGATAGTGCTTATCACATAGGTGAAATCAAATAGATTATATGTTAGTAGGATCGAATCTAACTGCATAATTTCGATTGTTCCACAAATATTTCAATAATAAAAAATAATACTTTTAAATCGTGAACTTTCAGAAACCGAGGAACTTATCGATTATAATAAATGTTAATAAACATAGAAAGTAAGCGCAGAAAAAAGTTTAACTGGCCGATATTTCGTCGTCCTAACGCTACAATATCAAATAGGTTTTTTTTTCTCGGCATCAATATCTTTCAATTTGTCTTATAATGAAATGTAATTGCAAATGGAAATATTTTCATTGGATCTAAAAGATAATCTAATTCGAGTAAGCACGTAATGATTTAATTTTTTCTATAAATCTTTATTTGAGAGCAAAATTTGACGCTATCTTCGATTATTAATGCATTATGAATGCATTGTTAGGCGTATCTGGAAGTATTATGTTCACTTATCGATTCATTGCAATGACAAGTTCGTATTATTTCGTAACAAGGAACATTTATTATTTTATTCTACAAAGATTACGTTATATTACAACAAGCACCAAAATTAATATTCTAATTCGAATGAAGGTCCGCTGTCACCTATTTTTATGATATTTTCATTAACTGATTTTGTATTCGGTCATATTATCGCAAGTATTCTAAAATGTATTTTTAATTAAAAATTATCTTTCATTTTAATAAATTTTTAATCAATATATCTGTAAAGTTGGTATAAACGTGCAAACGACACTTCAAGATAAACGTATTGCGGTATAATCTCGAATAATTCGTCAAGTTATTTCTCGTTCATATAATTCATCAAATCTATCAACTTATCTGCATCCATTGGTGCATCCATCATGAAATTTCTCATCGATCGGATTGTTGAGATTGATTGATGGCTGAGATTGAAGCTGTGGATTGAAAAACAAAATTCTGAAATATTATTAGAAAATTCTGAAATATTATTGAGAACATTTGGTAGGTTCAAATGTTTTATTGAAAAATTATGATTGTGATATATATATGACATATATGCAAAGTATCCGAATGAATCTCTTAGAAAGTAATAATCTCTTTTACTTTTAATGATAAAAGAAAATGTCGAATAAACGAATCGTTTGATTCGAAGGGCATACATTGCAATTTGAGAATGTATTTTTCTCAAGATCGTTCTAAAATCAAAAGATTTTATAATGTTCGACGTTTTTTTTGCATAGCACATATTCCGCCACCGCAACATAATAGCTAAGGTAAATCGGACGAGTTATGATACTATGACCTATAGATGAATTTGAGTGAAAACAAAATTACATAATTTGAGCAATTTATGGAAGTAATGAAATCACAATGATGTAAAAATTAATGTTAAAAATTTATAACAAAAGTAAAATATTATTTATCGATTATTTTTCGAAATGTTCGATATGTTACGAAAACAGATTGATAACATCCAGGATGATTCGATGAAGGAATCTTCGTTGATATTCCCGTACAATAGTTAGAGCAGTTTCATTAATAAAATCATAAATAAAATATGTATTGGCATATTAATGATTTAAAAACTTACGCGGTATATTGATATACCATATACATTATGATTACTGATTTCAACAGAATTAATTTCTATTAATCTCTAATTAATTACATTAATCTCTTCAATGATCTCAAGTAATAAACATAGCATTTGTAAAGAGATTAGATAACTACCGTCAATTTATTAATATAATATAAATTATATAAAACGAAAACTAGTTCGTTGTTGTTTCCCGTTATTGTTATATGTTTATAAAGAAGCATTTTTGAGCCTATATTTACGTGACATTTTTCTTTTATTTGAATTCGTAGAATAAACTGGCATCGTCATGTGGAAAAAAGTGAGGACATTATATACACGAACATATTGTTTTTGTTTATTTCTGTTCATTTCGTTCTCTGGAATGAAATGGACCAATCACTTTCTAATAACGAAATCTTCTATTATACAGTATTCATACAGTAATCGGTGATCGTAATAACCATCATAAATATCTTTCTATAATTGTAATTAATCGTTACTATGTGGTCATATGAATATAAAACTAAAAAAGCAAAGAAATCTGACTGAAAAGTATATAGAAGATAATCCGATTTTTGATATTGATCCTTTTAAAAGGCAATGGAAATTTAACGCGTTAGCGGACGAATAAAAATCGTAGAAAAGTAAAGATAAAGAAAGGATCAAAATCAATGTGTATGATGAAAACGTTTTTAAAATTGCTCGAAATTCCCTGGATTCGATAATTTTCTTTTTCACGTAATCAAATAGCCATTGATTTAAAGACTCCTAGTAATCAATCATCATAATTTTTCTGGATTTCTTGTCCAGCATTTGTCTGAACAACAATATGGACATAAGTTTTCGATTCGAATACCTTTATATGTCATTGTATTCTGGGTTTCTCTTTTGGCCAGGCATCGTGCGGTGTCATCTTCTCAGGATCATCGTATTCCATTTGGTTAAGCGAGTAAACTGCAATGTATACCGGTTCCGGATATAATATCCTGGGCAGATTTTATTGTTCTATTTGATGCCACTAATCATTATTTCTCCGTTTCGTAAAATTTAAACAAAATTTTCTTCGAAATTAACTAAGAAACATTTCGATTACCAATTGAAAATACCAATTGAATATTAGATTTTGTTTAATTTCGTACTAAGAGTTATATTATTTACTCGTACAATGTCCCATATTTATTATTAATGAACTTTTTAATTCTAATTATCGAAAAACAGCAAACTTGTGTGATAGCACGAATTCTTACCAAAAGATAATTAGTCTTAATTCAAAAAATCATTCAAGGCTGTGCAAAATTTACCGAGACCCAATATTATCGATAACTCTAGTATCTACATTATCTGTTTGTTGTATCTAGGATATCATTTTGCCGACACTTTTTGTACATTCCTTCGTTGATTGATACCGTCAGTGATAACAAAAGCGTTAATCGATTCGTCACCTATCAGTTTATAATCCTTTTTTCTTATTATTTCCCGAAATTATTTGATTATTTGCACATAAAGAATTTATTTTTACCTGTTCGTATCATAACTTTCTTCTTTGCTTTCCATTTTCAGTTTTTGTTTTCTTCCGTCATTTCACTTGTCGTTGTCGCTGACAAGGTACATGTCTCTTTCATTTCTTACAACATCCGATCCTTTTATGAATTTATCTTGGAATCTTTTGATCGTTTGATCACCTACTGGAATGCTATCACCTGTTATTTGTGTTATATCGTTGGCAAATTGTCTTCAAAATCATAACAAGATCTACAAGTTCAATAATTTTCTTCCTCAGATCTCTCTCGTTTGATGTGACCTCACTTTGACCCTTAACACGTGAAACATAACAGAATGAAACTTCTTCATTAGCGTCAACTTATATGAGTTTATTTTCATTTCATAAATAAAACAATTATTTTTTTTTTTCCATAATTCACATACATTTAAGTTCCTAATCAAATATTCTAATGTGCGTTAGACGATTGAAGACAAAATAAGACACACGATACGCACGTTTTTTTGTATCCATTACCTCACCTTTTGATTTTCCGGAACGTTAGCTTACCTTTGAATTTCAACCATCAGATCTTCAATTCCATATTCAGAAATAGTTTTCTGATGAAATTTCCAAAATAGAAAATCATTCCTGTTAAATTGATCCCGTTCTTCGCGAGATATCATCTTTGACTATTTTGTAAATGATTCCTGCACGTGGCTTTTCTTTCTGCCGATTTAACTCGCGAAATTAATGTGTATTTTGTTACTTATGTGACAAAAATATTGATCCAATAATCTGATACGAATATTGAAGAAGGAAATGATAACTTTATATACATCGATTAAAGAAATAAACCATATAATTAAACGGATAAGAAAACAATATTTATAAGGACGTAGAAATACGTGGTTGAATATATTCGTACGATTACTCACGCCTAATATCATTACACTCACAGATGTCACTCGCATACGGCGCGTTAATAAAAAGATATTTAAATAATAGCCAAGTTTTTAACGTTTCCAGTTTTGTTAGCACGAATTTTTGTTTTATCAATAACTAGTGGTCACGATAATTGGTTTCAATGACCACTAATGGCTTAATGTGCGCTTTCTAATTACCGAAAGGCTTACAAGGGGAGCAATTAGAATTCCGAAATCATATAGTCACAATCAAGAATGGTTGTATATCGTCGATTTTCGATATCTCAATAAAATAATTTAAATTTGAAAAAGAAATCGACGAAAGCTATCAATTGTTCGAGGTGTCAAGAATGCAATAAACTTATCAAAGGAAACGCGTAAATTGAAGGTACTATCTTTATCCTATATCTGTTTTAATGACTTGTCAAGATATTTTAATGAAATGTCTGATTTTATTAAACGTTCATTATTTTTGAGGTAGAAAAATTTTGTCCGTGCTTCAACAGCTTATTGTTTTCATATTTTGATCGAGAAATTTTATGATTTATCGATAAGTTGATTAATTTGATGGAGTACATAATCGAAAAACACTTCTACGATATTAAACTGCGGTACGTTTATTTTTCCGAGTATCGAACGTCTATATTAGTTTCACATTCATTTATAAAAAATATTAATTGAATAGATTTTATGTATCGGTTGATAAGATATAGAATTTTTGGATTTTAGATTACTTTGAATATATTTACTTATTTACGAAATCAATTGCTGAAATTCTTGTAAATATGCATGTTGACTCAATAACATAATAACAAATATTTGAATATTTCGTCCAGAAATAGGTCATTTAAGATAATAACGTAAGCCTTGTAGAACAAGACAACAAATATTCTACATTTAATTAGTGTAATATTTCTAGTAATATCAACGGATCGAGAATTTATTTGAGAATGAGTATGGACTAATAGGAATTACAGTTGTTCTAATGAGATTAATGCGAATTCAATATTGTTATGTATATCGTAATGTATAAAATATTCTCTTAAAGGAGACTCATTTACATATGTGCCATAAATGAAACGATTTGCCGAAAGCTGGATTCTCTCTTCCATCCTTAGTCACGAATAAGATGTAACTCATTTCTTAAAAATTAAACATGATTCGATAGATTTATTGGAAAATTTTTCATTTAATACTTAAGAAAATATATACGTATTAAGGAAACGCAACGAAATATTAATTTGAAAATAATAAATAAAATTGAATATTGTTGAATTATAATATAAATATATCTAATCCCGATACATACCGTTAATAATTTCTCGGTCAATAGTTTTCCTATAAATCCTCTTTCACTGTGAGTATTTCAAAAATACTCTGACGTAGAACTTTCGAATTGGCGAGGGCGTGTGAACGTTCTCGACAAATAATTCCAAGTCCATAACGTAATATTTCGTTTACTTGACATCTCTCGAAACATTTTTACCTTTCCAATCGATTTGTAAATCTAAACGTAAATATGAACTTAAAGATCCTTATTATTTCTCTATCGTACTAGTTCTTTTTACTTTTCGAGTTCTTTCAACCATTCTTAAGAATTAGATTAATATTTCAAACAGATTTAGAATTATAAAACTTCAGATATTTGAAAAATAATTATAAACTACTACTTTACTTTTATTTGCTAAACTTTACATATAGGCAAAGCATTCTTTCTTTATTTTGTACTATTCTTATTCTTATTTAAGAAAGATGTACTACTACGTTAACCGCTCTCAGTTTTGTATTTTTAAAAAGATATCGATATCAAAGATTACTTAATAAAACGTACTTTGAAGATAAAATTGATAATTATTTTAAAAAATCAAGATCAATGAAGAGAGCGTCTATAGATTATAAAGCCTATAAGTTACCAAATTGGACTGAAAAAAGTTTTTTGTCCAAATAAAAATATAAGATATAAACCCAAAATATAAAAATATATATAATCATAAATATCACAAATATAAAAATTATAGAAATAACAACATAAAATTATTTTTTTAATTTATTTATTTTATGTTATTCATTCAACTACGATCTCGAAAATATCCCTTTATATTGTGCGTAAGTACGACAGAAATTATCGATCGGGTACATAAATGTGATTAATACAAAGTGTCAATAAATCAGGAAGTTCTACTTCTAAAGATTGTAAAAAATTATAAAATCGGATTATGAAAAGCAAATATGAATCGAACATCCCGCGAAAATTAGAATAATACAAGAGCGCCACCATGGTAAGAGTACGAGTTACTACAGCAATATCGCTTAAGTCAGTTGTTTTATTTTTTCTGCTAAGTAGAAAGGCTTAAACAGAATGAAGAAAATAATCTAAAAGGCAGCAATATATTATCACATTATTATAAATGTTTTAAGGATTCAAGCAAATATTAATAATCATAAATTTATCCAGGTTTATATTTTTCTAACCTCTTAAGTTTTATATCTATTGATCATTATAGAATCTATGCATGAACTATAATATATATTAATTAATAAGTAAAGTAGTTTGTATTATAAAATATAAATTGAAATTAGAATCACTAAATACAATTTTTAAATACTTTTTTAAAATGAAGAACAAGTCAACACGTCATAAAGACAGAGATACATTTCAGATATTATTCAAAAATAAATGTGATTTTCCATAATATTATATGTTATTTAATATTGTTTTCTATTTTTTAATTATATTTTTAATTATAATATTTTTTAATTTTATATTTTATATTATAATTCAAATGATTTTCTAAAAGAGTCAACAGAATAGATATTAATGTCTTTCATTGTATAAGTTACAGACGTCAGGACAAGGATGAAATCAAAACCTATTTTCATGAAATGAAAAATGGCTTCAAAAATGAAATCTCCTGAATCTAAGAGAGAGTTATTGGAATTTAAAAAGACAAATAAAAGAATTTGTTATATCAATTGCTTAGTAAGAAGTGTTATGTCATTGATTCATTTTTAGAATATTTAGACAAGCGAGATGTTCTATTTCTACAGCTAATATTGGAGTAAGTATTTTAAATGACATACTAAATATATCTATTTTAATTATATTTGCACAATAATTTTATGTTTTAGATAAATAGCGACAAATCTATGAAAGGATTTTTATCAATTTTTACAAGGTATAATGGATATTTTGATTAAAAAATATAAAAGAAATATAATACACATTCATGACTTGCCAACTAATTCAAATATCTGTGACGATATTAATTCTAAAATGTAAAAACTCTTCTTTTACTCGATCCAATCATTTTATATTAATAGTATTGGTACAGAAAGTTCTGTCTTCATTGTCAAAATTAATTAAGAGTTACTCCGATACTTTCTACGTCTATTGACAAGGTCACCATAAATGCGGTAAAGTGGTACGACAATAAGGCCGTTCATTTGATGAGCACGTTTTGCGAAGTTGAACCAGTAGACATAGTGAAAAGGTGGGACAAAAAAATAAACAGAATGATCGATGTATAACGATCAAATATAGTGAAAACATACAACTAACACGTGGGTGGAGTAGATTTGGTTGATTCGTTGATAGCGTTGTATCGAATTTAAGAATATATAAGAATAAAAATTCGATCAAAGAAGTGGTACCATTGCATTATGTTTTACCTCTTAGATTTTACGGTGGTCAATGCTTGACTCTTATATAAGCGAGATTGCTCATCGCATTCTGTAAGCCCCGGTCGTCAGTATAGTTTATTGAAATTTAAAACTGACATTGCATCTTGTTTATGTCAGGAACACAAAGGAATCCAGTAAAACAGGGGGAGTCCTACTTCAAATGAGGTATTTGATCATATATATATTTTACATTATTAGTATTTTAGACTTATAATAAATTGTTCGATATATTAATTTCTATATTCAAGTTAAAGCATTGGAATCGAATAAATGTTTAATGATAAACGATAAATAATAATGAAAGTGTTGTAACTTTGTAGATATATGCCAGATAATTTCTTTTGAATTAGCTTATTGCTAATCATAAATAAACATCCTTTCTGTATTCTTTATTTTTCACGTAACATTGCCATTATTTTCTTAATATAATTTTAAGTAAAATATACGGTTCTTACAGCTTGTTTTGTAGCTATAATAAATATGATGAAAGTATTGGTAGAAAATGAAATAGTTTACAACGATCAAACCAGAATGTGCTAATTATATAAGAACGATGTTAGTAAATTATTTGTATTTTACGATAATTTATTTTCTAAGTTAATAGATTCTTACGGTTCTTGATTTATTATTTTATAAGATTAGTTAATTTCTAAAATCGTTATTGTATATAAAATAGAAAATTCATATTTATTTATATTCGTTATGAATTATAATATTTACATAATTAGTTTGAAAAACTAATAACAAATCCTAATTATTTAATTTTTTTTAACATTTTCAGTTACTTAATATTCTTAATAAGGAAACTATATATTATGTTTTTTATATTAATTTAAAGCAAATAATGTGTTTTACATAGCAAGTGTACTTTGTACATTATTACACGTAATTATATGTCCTTATAGATTAATAATATTTTTTTTAGGTTTACTATTATAGGATAAAAGTTTTTTTTAATATTTGTAAGTAATTTTAAATCAAATCTGATCTCAGGAAAAGACTATGTCAAGTTTGCATCAGCATTGTATAATATGAAAGTTGATTAATCCCTGATATACTTACATATGAGACCTGACACGACACTAATGCATGTTTACTCAACATCATAATGTTTTATGGCAAACTATTGTAAAGATTCGATGTTAAACTCTGAATTTTAATTTAAAAGTAAATAGAAATAAACTTTTTAAACTTTTATGTATTCGTATCAAATGTTAAAACATTTAATACGTGAAATAGCAATTATGACTTATATATTTTTTAATATTTCTAGTATATATATATATATATATATATATATATATATATATATAATTTTAATACATAAATAATTAATATTGACCGTTTAGTGTA